ACACTTGCCATCCTCTCTTGCCACACCTGCCATCCTCTCTCTTGCCACACTTGTCATCCTCTCTCTTGCCACACTTGTCATCCTCTCTCTTGCCACACTTGTCATCCTCTCTCTTGCCACACTTGCCATCCTCTCTCTTGCCACACTTGCCATCCTCTCTCTTGCCACACTTGCCATCCTCTCCCTTGCCACACTTGCCATCCTCTCTCTTGCCACACTTGTCATCCTCTCTCTTGCCACACTTACCATCCTCTCCCTTGTCACACTTGCCATCCTCTCCCTTGCCACACTTGCCATCCTCTCCCTTGCCACACTTGCCATCCTCTCTCTTGCCACACTTGCCATCCTCTCCCTTGCCACACTTGCATCCTCTCCCTTGCCACACTTGCCATCCTCTCTCTTGCCACACTTGCCATCCTCTCTCTTGCCACACTTACTATCCTCTCTCTTGCCACACTTGCCATCCTCTCCCTTGCCACACTTGCCATCCTCTCCCTTGCCACACTTACCATCCTCTCTCTTGCCACACTTGCCATCCTCTCTCTTGCCACACTTGCCATCCTCTCTCTTGCCACACTTGCCATCCTCTCTCTTGCCACACTTGCCATCCTCTCCCTTGCCACACTTGCCATCCTCTCCCTTGCCACACTTGCCATCCTCTCTCTTGCCACACTTGCCATCCTCTATCTTGCCACACTTGCCATCCTCTCCCTGCCACACTTGCCATCCTCTCTTGCCACACTTGCCATCTCTCCTTGCCACCTGCCATCCTCTCTCTTGCCACACTTGTCCATCCTCTCTCTTGCCACACTTGTCATCCTCTCTCTTGCCACACTTGTCATCCTCTCTCTTGCCACACTTGCCATCCTCTCTCTTGCCACACTTGCCATCCTCTCTCTTGCCACACTTGCCATCCTCTCCCTTGCCACACTTGCCATCCTCTCTCTTGCCACACTTGCATCCTCTCTCTTGCCACACTTACCATCCTCTCCCTTGCACACTTGCCATCCTCTCCCTTGCCACACTTGCCATCCTCTCCTTGCCACACTTGCCATCCTCTCTCTTGCCACACTTGCCATCCTCTCCCTTGCCACACTTGCCATCCTCTCCCTTGCCACACTTGCCATCCTCTCTCTTGCCACACTTGCCATCCTCTCTCTTGCCACACTTACATCCTCTCTCTTGCCACACTTGCCATCCTCTCCCTTGCCACACTTGCCATCCTCTCCCTTGCCACACTTACCATCCTCTCTCTTGCCACACTTGCCATCCTCTCTCTTGCCACACTTGCCATCCCTCTCTTGCCACACTTGCCATCCTCTCTCTTGCCACACTTGGCACCTCTCCTTGCCACACTTGCCATCCTCTCCCTTGCCACACTTGCCATCCTCTCTCTTGCCACACTTGGCATCCTCTCTCTTGCCACACTTGCCATCCTCTCCCTTGCCACACTTACCATCCTCTCTCTTGCCACACTTGCCATCCTCTCCTTGCCACACTTACCATCCTCTCTCTTGCCACACTTGCCATCCTCTCCCTTGCCACACTTACCATCCTCTCTCTTGCCACACTTGCCATCCTCTCCCTTGCCACACTTACCATCCTCTCTCTTGCCACACTTGCCATCCTCTCTCTTGCCACACTTGCCATCCTCTCCTTGCCACACTTGCCATCCTCTCTCTTGCCATACTTGCCATCCTCTCTCTTGCCACACTTGCCATCCTCTCTCTTGCCACACTTGCCATCCTCTCTCTTGCCACACTTGCCATCCTCTCTCTTGCCACACTTGTCATCCTCTCTCTTGCCACACTTGTCATCCTCTCTCTTGCCACACTTGCCATCCTCTCCCTTGCCACACTTGCCATCCTCTCCCTTGCCACACTTGCCATCCTCTCCCTTGCCACACTTGCCATCCTCTCCCTTGCCACACTTGCCATCCTCTCTCTTGCCACACTTGCCATCCTCTCTCTTGCCACACTTGCCATCCTCTCTCTTGCCACACTTGCCATCCTCTCTCTTGCCACACTTGCCATCCTCTCTCTTGCCACACTTGCCATCCTCTCTCTTGCCACACTTGCCATCCTCTCTTTGCCACACTTGCCACCTCTCTCTTGCACACTTGCCATCCTCTCCCTTGCCACACTTGCATCCTCTCCCTTGCCACACTTGTCATCCTCTCTCTTGCCACACTTGCCATCCTCTCTCTTGCCACACTTGCCATCCTCTATCTTGCCACACTTGTCATCTCATCCCTTGCCACACTTGCCATCCTCTCTCTTGCCACACTTGCCATCCTCTCTCTTGCCACACTTGCCATCCTCTCCCTTGCCACACTTGCCATCCTCTCTCTTGCCACACTTGCCATCCTCTCTCTTGCCACACTTGGCATCCTCTCTCTTGCCACACTTGCCATCCTCTCTCTTGCCACACTTGTCATCCTCTATCTTGCCACACTTGTCATCCTCTCTCTTGCCACACTTGTCATCCTCTCTCTTGCCACACTTGCCATCCTCTCTCTTGCCACACTTGTCATCTTCTCTCTTGCCACACTTGGCAACCACTGCCTCACATGATGGAAAACATTATAATTATTTTCTGAAGAATTTAACAGAAAAATAATTCGGCACAGATTAACTGCTAGTTAAAAAATTGGAACTGGGAAAACTAATTGTGTTCAATATGAAAAACCTTGGGTGGTGAATGGTGCAACAAGGAGGAGGCTGGAAGCAGTTGTGGTGTGAACATTATGCCCAGAATTAGGAGGAGGTGCGGGGGTTACTAAAAGTATTATCCAGAAGGCTGATTAGGGGATGTTGAGGTGGTTCAGACATTTAGAGGGGATGGAACAAAACAGAATGACTTGGAGAGCATATAAATCTGTAGTGGAAGGAAGGCAGGGTAGGGGTGAGCCTAGGAAAGGTTGGAGGGAGGGGATAAAGTAGGTTTTGTGTGTGAGGGGCTTAGAATTCCAGCAAGCATATGTAATCATTACATAGGAGCAAGTGGAGGTAAACAGGTTTTTATGACTTGATGTACTGTTGGAGAGTGAGCAAAGTAATATTTATGAAGGGATTCAGGGAAACCGGTTAGCTGGACTTAAGTATTGAAGGTGGAAAGTACAGTGCTCGTCATGGTATTATGCCAGGTGAGCGCCCCTGCATAATGCCATGATAAAAATCAAGGGCCTATCATACAGGGGGGTCTTTTTTGTCAGTGAATTATGCCGGGTAGCAGCCATTAGCATGATGACATGGCCTGCCACCACACTCCACAGTGACTCTTAAGTGTTCACGTGGCTGCCGTGGTGAGAGGAAGTGTTGCACTTTTGTCTCTCATCCACCCCATCTTTTATCCAGTGTTCCCTTTGGTTTTGGGGCTATATATGTTTGACTATGGACAAAAGAAAGTCTTTAACAGCTGAAACTATAGCTCAAATCACAGGGCTTCACAAAGCTGGGCACCAGACGAAAGAAATAGTGGAGAATGTTGGTATGTGTGAGCATTCAGTGAGGAACTGGGTGCAGCGTTTCAAGGCTGGTGGCGGTGTCGAGATACCATCTGCCAAGCCTCGGCCTGGCCCCTCGAAGAAGACATTTGTTCATACCTTAATTGTGTTACAGAAACAGTTAGAGATTACACCTAAGATAACTGTTAGAAAACTGAAAGAAAAGAACCCACATCTTCTCTCAGAGGTGTCTGTAAGAACTGTTAGCAGGCGTGTGTCAGAACTAGGCTACAGTAGTCACTGCCAGGTTAAGAAACTAATCCTCTCCAAGCCACAGAAGAAATGTAGGCTGGATTATGCAAAGAAATATCTTCACTGGAATCCTCAACAGTGGTCTGAAGTATAGTGGTACCTTGGGTTACGAACTTAATTCGTTCCAGAAGGCTGTTCGAGTGCCGATACTGAACGAATTTGTTCCCATAAAGAATAATGTAAATTAGATTTATCTGTTTCAGACCCCCAAAAATATACTTACAGAAGCACTTACAAAAATACACTTACATAACTGTTTGAGTTGGGAGCTGTTGTGTGCCGAGGTACCACTGTACTTTGGAGTGATGAAGCAACCTTCACCGTCACCTGTAACCATGGTGAACATGTGTACCGGCCCAGAGACAGTGACCCGATAGACCTGTGGGACCAAACACCCAGACTCGCTCATGGTTTGGGGGGGATGTTTCAGTGCTCCAAATATTGGTAAACTCATTGTGCTTCCCAAAAGCCAGTATATGAACCAGTATAATTACCCAGAGTTATTGTGTGACAATTTACCTGAGGCGTTGGACAAGTGTGGTGCTACGGTTTTTATGTAGGACTGTGCACCATGTCATACCGCCAAATCTGTAGTTCAGTGACTTAAGGGCTGTGAAGTGAGGTTCTCTAATGACTGGTTAGGTAATTCCCCAGACATAAACCCTATTGAGAACCTCTGGTAATAGTGAAATGAAGTTTACTGGGCAAGGATGATAGTTCCATCCCGCGGCTGAATGCTACTCTACATGAGGCATCGAATAATATGCCTCCCCAAACCCTCAAGAATTTGTGTGAGAGTCTTCCTACATGCCTGAGGGATGTGATTAAGAGTAAAGAACACAGCACTAAGTATTAAAATCTCAGTAAGTGTGCAAATATATATATTATAATCTTTCACAGTATATGTCTGTGTTTTGGTACATGTGTGGGGGAGGGGCGGCATAATGCTGTGACAAGCACAGTACAGTGCCTGCACTCTGAAGGAGGGGTGCTGATAAGTTGCAGTTTTTAAATGTAGTGTAGGTGCACTGCTGGCAGGACAGCAATGGAGTGAATGATGAAAATTTCTTTTTTTTCAAGCCACCTTGCCTTGGTGGGAAATGGCCGATGTGTTAAAAAAAAAAATCCTCTTGTAAAAAAAAAATATATTTTAACTCATAGCAAAAGATTAGATAAAGAAACTGAAAACTCTTAATCAAAACTGAAGGATAACTGAAAGTGCAGTTTTTGTTCAAACGTTCACCTGAACTTCAGAATCAGCATCGACGGGCGTGATGGGGAACCACTGATCTTTACCATTGTACTTGTGTAGGTCATCCTTCTTGATGGAAACTTTACCCATTATTCTGTCAGTCTTCATGGGGCGGTCGCGGTCGTACAGGTAAAATGAAAGAAACCGGAATTCTCGTGGAATGTCAAACTGAAATTCTTCCCCGAAGAATGCTGACAGACTGAAACAATAAAACGCTTTCAGCATATTCTGAGTCCTTTAAAACTGATAAAAAATCCATAGTAACAACTAAGTCTCGATTAGTGCAAATAATGAATCCCATGAAGTGGTCACATTATTCAAATTATACGTAATTTTTGTACACAATTTGAAGAGCTTGAGGGGAAAAACTAGCATTAATTTTGCATCACATTGTTGAAATTCACACAAATCAAGTACAGTGGACCCCCGCGTAACGATATTAATCCGTGCAAGAGAGCTCATTGTTATGCGAAATTATTGTTATGCAAATGAATTTTCCCCATAAGAAATAATGGAAATCAAAATAATCCGTGCAAAACACCCAAAAGTATGAAAAAAAAAAATTTTACCACATGAAATATACATTTTCCTACACACAAAGAGAAGGATACATGCACAATAGTAGAGTAGTACATGCACAATATATATTGTGCATGTACTAGTCTACTAAATGAAGAATAAATGACACTTACCTTTATTGAAGATGCAGCAATGACTGATGAGACACTTGTCCTGGGAGTGCCTTTTCCTCCTGAGTACTGTAGGTCCTGTTTGGCATTTTCTTCCAGAACAGGCCTTATCACACTGTGTATGCCACTACGATTCTTAAATCTCTCAAACCAACCTTTGCTGGCTTTAAATTCACCAATATGAGCACTAGTTGCAGGCATTTTTCCCTGTTCACCTGGGTGTTAGTCGACCGGTTTGGGTTGCATCCTGGGAGACAAGATTAAGGACCCCAATGGAAATAAGTTAGACAGTCTTCGATGACACTGACTTTTTTGGGTTATCCTGGGTGGCTAACCCTCTGGGGTTAATTGTTTCTTGGTATTCTCAATAAGCCACACCAGCAACAGTGCTACAGCAGCAGCTGACAATGCTACAGCAGCAGCAGCTGACAGTGCTACAGCAGCAGCTGACAGTGCTACAGCAGCAGCAGACGGTGCTACAGCAACAGCAGACGGTACTACAGCAGCAACAGCAGCTGACGGTGGTACAGCAGCAGCAGCAGCTGACGGTGCTACAGCAGCAGCAGCAGCTGACAGTGCTACAGCAGCAGCAGCAGCTGACAGTGCAGCAGCAGCTGACGGTGCTACAGCAGCAACAGCAGCTAACAGTGCTACAGCAGCAGCAGCATCAGCAGTTGACCATGGTACCACAGTATTTCGATAATATTTCTCACCCTTTTTACCACAGGGTTGGCACTAGAAGCTTTCTTGGGGCCCATGGTCACTTATTTTGCAGATAAAATCACCAAAAACACTGTAATAATACAAAATGCTCCGATTGTATGCTTGGATGTTACCGCGGAGGCTGGCTTATAAACATTGCCACCGGCGGAACATGTGAGGCTGGCTCAGGCCTCACACAGACGCGTCTCGGACGAATAGCGTTGAGCGGGTTTTTTAGCGCTATGCGAGGCAAAATTTTAGTGATAAAATGTATCGCTATGCGGATTTAACGTTATGTGATGCCAACGGTATGCGGGGGTCCACTGTACAATTAATCTGAAAATAGCTTGTACAGATATTTAAAAGTGTTTCAGTTAATGATCCCGAAATTAAAAACAATCAACTTGAAAAATTGTACTAGTTTCTCTTTACCATATCTGACACTTCCTTATAAGGTAGGGTGATGCCCTAAAATATAAACACCTTGACCATCACCGACTCACTCTAAAGTCTTTTCCGCCGTCGCTGATCTAAATATTTCTTCTTGGTCCAGTGATATTGAACAGTAAACATCCCGTTGACCTGAGGTTCCATGGTTACGAAGGACAAGATTTTTCGCCTCTCCTGGAAAAAACAAAACAAAGTTAGTAGTGATGGGAGTGAGTGAGTGAGTGAGTGAGTGTGGGGACAAACTGGGGCAGAGCAATTAGTGCTCACTTGGAACAACCAAGTATATTATTATTATTATAATCAAGGGGGAAGCGCTAAACCCGGAGGATTATACAGCGCCTGGGAGGGGGATGTGGAAGGCATTCAGGCTTAATTCGGAGAACTGGAGCACAGATCCAATTCCCTAAATCAAGAGCTTCTCACTAACATCAAGGAACCTTCCTTGAGGGGACAACCAAATATAAACTTTAACCCTTTGACTGTCGCGGCCGTATATATACGTTTGTGAGGTACCGTGTTTGACGTATATATACTCATAAATTCTAGCGGCTTCAAATCAGGCAGGAGAAAGCTAGTAGGCCCACATGTGAGAGAATGGGTCTGTGTGGTCAGTGTGCACCACATAAAAAAAATCCTGGAGCACGCAGTGCATAATGAGAAAAAAAAAACTCCGACCGTTTTTTTTAATTAAAATGCCGACTTTGTGGTCTATTTTCGTATAGTATTTGTGGTTGTATTCTCGTTTTCATGGTCTCATTTGATAGAATGGAAACTATATTATAGAAATGGAGGTGATTTTGATTAATTTTACTATAAAAAGAACCTGGAAATGGAGCACAAAGTACAGGAAATGTTTGATTTTTGCCGATGTTCAAAAGTAAACAAATGATGTCATTGTCCAATAAATGTCCAAATAGCCATTCTAATACGCAGTCATGAATGGGTTGATGTAATTTTTACAATTATTACAGTATTGCAGTAGTCTGCATAACAGTAAATCTTCTATTTTTTGTTTGAATAAAATTTCAAAATAAAAAGCAAGAGTAATATCACAGGGACCTGGAGACATGACTGATGAACAAAGAAAATCTTATTTTAGAGCCAGGAATGTCTGCATTGTTCATTCTGGACCTTATTTTGAAATTGTCGTATTTTTTAATTTTCGTGAAATTGGCAAATTGCAATTTCTGACCATGTTATTGGGTAGTTGAAATCGGTAAATGGGCATTTCTTGTGCTCAATCGATAGAAAAAATAGAGTTTGAAGAAATAGTTATGAGTTTGGTTGACTGGAATAACGGAATTAGCGAAAATAGGGCTCAAAGTGGGCGAAATTGCCGATTTTTAAATATCGCCGAAGTCGCTAACTTCGCGAGAGCGTAATTCCGTCAGTTTTCCATCAAATTTCGTTTTTTTGGTGTCTTTACAATCGGGAAAAGATTCTCTATCATTTCATAAGAAAAAATAATTTTTTTTTTTTTTCGAATATTTTGCGACACCAGGAGCAACTTCAGGATTGGGCCCTTCGACAGTCAAAGGGTTAACTACACTCACCAATGACCACTGAAATATAAAGTATCATACACTGCATACCAGTGGCTTTCTTTTGTGCCTAATGTTTTATTACATGTAAACTACATTATTTTTGTACGGTATAAAGCTCCCGCTTCACACACGGAGGGCCCGGGTTCGATTCCCAGCGGGTGGAAACATTTCGACACGTTTCTTTACACCTGTTGTTGTCCTGTTCACCTAGCAGCAAATAGGTACCTGGGTGTTAGTCGACTGGTGTGGGTTGCATCCTGGGGGACAAGATTGAGGACCCCAATGGAAATAAGTTACAGTCCTCGATGACGCACTGACTTTCTTGAGTTATCCTGGGTGGCTAACCCTCCAGGGTTAAAAATCCGAACAAAATCTTATCTTGTCTCATCTTATCCATGGGAAGTGGTGAAGAATCTTTCCTTGCTAAGTCATGTGTGTTGCAAGAAGCCACTAACATACCAGCAACAAGGTGCTAGTAATCCCTTCTCCTGTATAAATTCCTAAATACCAGCAACAAGGTACAGGTCGGCCATCACTAATCCAGCAATTGGTAATCCGGTTCCATCAGTAATCCAGCACTAATTTCAGCTAGCATAATTTCAAATTTTCAGGGTCGCCACACATACCTGCCGCTACTGTTTGGTGGTGCTACTTGCTGCATAAGTCATTCCAATTTCTTTTTCTCCATTTATTGTTATAACCTGCCTACTTTTAGCCCTAACCATGGTTCCAACGAATAAAAGAAATGCTTCTCGTTGTGTAAAGCACATACACCATACACTGTTCATAAAAGATAAGGAGGCTTTGAAGCCACTGTCAGTTGCCATGAGCTCGGTCACTCACATAAGCTATGACCGGTAAATTTGGCCCTACATATGACAGAATAGGTCTGTGTAGTAAGTGTGCACTATAAAAAAAAATCCTGCTGCATACAGTGCGTGATGAAAAAAAAAACTGCGACAGTACACTCATTACTTACCTTAAAATATGTGTAGTCTTAATATAGGGTGAGAGGTGAGTAGTACTTATTTGTAGGTGTAACTACAGTGGACCCTCGGGTAACGACATTAATCCGTTCCAGAGAGCTTGTCTTTAATCTATTGTTTTGTTATCCAAATTAATTTTCCCCATAAGAAATAATGGAAATCCAATTAATCCGTTCCAGAAACCCACAAGTATTAAACAAAATATTTTTTTTTACATGAAATATACATTTACCTAAACAAAAAACAATGAGACATGCAGAATAAACAATACTGAAATGACACTTACCTTTACTGAAGAAGTATTGATGAATGATGAGATGGGAGGAGGGGAGAGGATGGAGGAGTTTACAACTGTTTGCAAGGGGAATCCCCTTCCATAAAGACTTCAGGTAACAAGTCCTTTTCTGGGGTTACTTCCCTTCTTTGTTTTTTAATGCCACTAGGGCCAGCTTGAGAGTTACTGGACCCCTGTTGCACCAAAAATCTGTCCAGAGAGCTTTGTTTCTGGCATCTCTAAGATTTCCCTAAAACGGGACACAACACTGTCATTGTAGATGTTGCAGCACGGCCTGCAACAGCTGTGTCAGGGTGATGTTCATCCATAAATGTTTGCACATAAGAAAGTAGGAACACTGCAGCAGGCTTGTTGGCCCAAACTAGGCAGGTCCTTCACAAACCATCCCTTTAACAGAATCATATTTGCACAACCCAATTTTCAATGCTTCCCAAGCAATAAGCTTTGATCATTCTATTCATTCATGCACAAGTCCCAATCAAATCAAATCGTGTGTATGGGGAAGTACCTTGGCTAGTATGTGGGGAAGTTCCCTGGCTGGTGTGTGGGGAAGTTCCCTGGCTGGTGTGTGGGGAAGTACCCTGGCTGGAAGATGGGGAAATACCCTGGCTGGTATGTGGGAAAGTACCCTGGCTGATATGTGGGGAAGTACCCTGGCTGTTATGTGGGGAAGTACCCTGGCTGGTATGTAGGGAAGTACCCTGGCTGGTATGTTGGGAAGTACCCTGGCTGGTGTGTGGGGAAGTTCCATGGCTGATGCATGGGAAGTACCCACGCTGGTGTACGTAAGAAAACTCATCACTCCCACCCTCTACCACCACCACTTTCATATCTTTCTACAAACTTTTCTTGAATTCTGTAGTGTTTCTCACCCTCTTTACCAAAGGGCTGGCACTAGAACCTTTCTTTGGGCCCATGGTGGCTTATTTAGCAGTTACAAGCACTAAAAACAATGGAATAATACAAAATATATCGCAATGGAAATAAGTCACTCTGACTTTTTTGGGTTATCCTAGGTTCTCTACACATATCCTGCTATGTATAATAATCTATGTACAGTGGACCCTCGCCTAACGAATGCATCGCATAACGTTAAATCCGCCTAGCGATACATTTTAACGCAAAAATTTTGTCTCGGCTAGCGCTAAAAAACTCGCCCAACGTGATTCGTTCCGTTCGAGACGCATCCACATGTGGACTGAGCACGCCTCACTTGTCCCATGGGTGCTAGTGTTTACAAGCCAGCCACTGCGGTCGCATCCAAACATACAATCGGAACATTTCATATTATCACAGCATTTTTAGTAATTGCACCTGCAAAATAAGTCACCATGGGCCCCAAGAAAGCTTCTAGTGCCAACCCTGTGATAAAAAGGGTGAGAATTAGTATGGAAATTAAGAAAGATTTTGAAGGGTTTGGGGCTAACCCTGAGAAGCCTATGCCAGTTGTGGAATCCATTGTGCCTACTTCAAAGATTAAGGAAATGTGTGCAAAATGGGTTGAACTGCAAACCTTTATGGATGAAAATCACCCTAACACAGCTATTGCAAGCCATGCTGGTGACTATTACAATGACAATGTTATGGCCCATTTTAGACAAATTTTAAAGGAACGGGAGGTACAGAGCTCTTTGGACAGATATGTTGTGCGACAGAGGTCCAGTGGCTCTCAAGCTGGTCCTAGTGGCATTAAAAGAAGAAGGGAAGTAACCCCGGAAAAGGACTTGACACCTCAAGTCCTAATGGAAGGGGATTCCCCTTCTAAACATTAACAACATCCACACTCTCCCCTCCTCCCATCCCATCAATCATCACCAGATCTTCAATAAAGGTAAGTGTCATGTAACTGTGCATGTTTTCAGTTTGTGTGTATTAAAATTAATATTTCATGTGGTAAAAAATTTTTTTTGTTCATACTTTGGGGTGTCAGGAATGGATTAATTTGATTTCCATTATTTCTTATGGGAAAAAATTAATTCGCCTAACGATAATTTTGCCTAACGTTGAGCTCTCAGGAACGGATTAATAGCGTTAGGATGGGTCCACTGCATTTGCTTTGACTTGCAAGCCAAAATCCAAGTTACGAGTGAGCTTCAGATATGCCGCCACTAGCTGGCACAGCAAACACCACAACATCCGCCCAGCATCCCAGCGTTTTGTGCTTTCTGTGCAGTCATTTTGCCAAATTTTTTCTTTCTAACCATGGGTCATAAGAAAGTAAGTGCAAAGGACAGTGCTGAAAAGAGGATGATGATGATGTCCATTGAATTAACCCTTTCAGGGTCCCCAGGCCCTCTCCGAGACTTGTTCTCAGGGTTGCCAAATTTAAAAAAAAAAATTCTTATGAAA